CCGTGGTCCTAACGCGCTCCACATCCGGCACCCTCTACCCGGCTGGTGCGCCCTGCGTTGCTGTGGAGACTCCAGACTCATTTCTGGGGGCCACGGGCGGTGGCTTTATACCTATGGCCGCATTTGGGTAACCAGGTTTTTTGGCCCAAGTTGAGCCCCTTCGTTTCTTTGTGTGTATGGTCTGCGGGGCTGACAGCCGCCGCCCCGCTGCGCGGTGGTTTTCGGTGTGGGAACCGCTGGAGGCGCGCGCCGCGGCGGGAGACTTGGTGCGGGGACTGAGGACCACCTGGATATCGGAACCTGACACCTCGTTCTGTCCGGGACCTTTCTTCCTCTATCGGAAGCTCACAGGCGGGGCTCCGAGGCGCCCGGGAGGTGGGTCGGGGCTCGGGCCCTGCAAGTCCGGAGCGCCGGGGAAGGATGGGGGGTGGGGGTGAGGCCAAAGGCCGGGTGGAACGATGGCAAGCTATTGTTAACCGCTTCCCGGAGCCCAGCTTCTGGCCTGCGGTCCGCGGCCGGCTTTCCAGCGCTGGGTGGGCTGGCTTCTCAGCGCGGAGAGCCTAGGGCGCCGTGGGGTGGGGCAGGGCAGGGCCGGCCCGGTGGCATTGTGTGAACTGGGCGAGCCTGGTCTTTGAGGGACCCTCGCAACCCCCGTGCGGCACTACTGGACCCGGCATAGAGAGATTATGGGATGTGCTAGTGGGGCTCCCCCACACCCCAAGCTTATTATTATTTTAGTGTAGTCACTTTTAGGGTAGGACGTTTGCTACATGCAGTTGAGTCATTAGAAATCCAGTAATTGCCACTGGGAGAGTAGGATGCAAGGGAGGTAAGGTGGGGACTACGAGGGTGGCGAGGACCCCAGAGGCGCGTTGTGGCGTTAGCGGACAAGGACTGCTGGTACAGCGGCTGAATAAAGACCATAAAATAACAAAGTAGTCCTCGGCACTCCCCCTGCTTCCCCCATCCTGCAGGTGACATCTCTACTGTTTAGATTCGCTGGGCACTGTTGGCCTGGTTCGCAGGGATATTGTATGTGGGGGGGCGGGGTGTGGGGGGC